AAAATAATAATAATTACCATTTCATAAATTATTTCAAATAAAATAAGTAACAATTAAATGAATGAAGATCAAATTTGATAGATAAAAAAAATTAATTAAAAAATAATAAGGAAAAAGTAAATAACAATTATAAAAATTAGGGCCAAATTTAATATAAAAATCAAATTATAAGGGATGAAATTTAAAAAAAAATATTATAGCAATCAAAAATTTAAGAACCAAATTAATTTGATATAATTAGCAAATAATATGACATTTCTAAATTTCTCATGACTTTCAAAAAGTATTTTCTGTCTAAAATAAAAGAAAAATACTTTTCTAGAAACTACACTAATTTTTTTTTATTGAAAAGTGTTTTCAATTGACTAATTTTTTTAATGACAAAAAAATATAAAAAAATTCAAAAAATTATTTTCTGTGAAATAAACAAGGCGTGAATTACATTTTACCTTTCAAATAGCTAGAAGATACATTATCTATATTAAAACTAGAAAATCTTAAAAAACAAATAAACAAAGTAATTAATTGATAAACTCACATCAAAATACCAAAATAAAACAAGAAATCTAGGAAAATAAATATTTTTAAAAAACATAATATAAAAAAACAAATATATTTAATTGCATTTCCTAATCTTACGGTCTTCTACCAAGTCTTTATTAACTCATTATAATTGTATTCATGAAAAAGATGCGTAGTTTTTCATCTAATTTCTTATCAAGATATCAATCATTCATATATGGTTTCATTTATAAATGTTTTGTAAAAATTATGTTATATTTTTATCAATTATCCAAATTATTTTTGGATCAATTAAATTAAATAATTCATTTTAAATTAATTTTTATATTATTTAATTTAAAATTTAAGTTAGATAAGAAGTCGAATTGATAAGTTTTAAAATTAAACTATTTAATTGAAGTTAGTGATATTATTAAAAAATCTTCATTCTTAATATTTTTTTAAATTTAGAAGAAAAAAAGTCCAAACTTGAACAGAAAAAATATTATTCCTTTAATGTTAGATAATATTCTATATTTTCATAGCAAAACTTGATTTCTCATCACGTGAATTTAGTTTGAACTCTTAATTAGCATTTTCTTTTCTGAATTGTTGATTTATATAAATGAATTTAAAGCTTGAAACTTTTTTATTATTATTATTATTGTAAGAATATCAATGCAGGTAAAATGTTTCCCCCTTTTTTTTTCCAAAAAACTATACAAAATAATAAAGAATTTTTATTTTATTTTACCAGAGTTTGTATTTACTACATATTTTCATGTAAACTAAGCAATACGTATATCATAACACAGGAGGGAGAGATAACACCTAGAAACAATCGATCTAATCGTACTACATCGTTATATATTATTTAAAAAAAATAATTATTCTGTGTTACTTTCCTGGAAGCAATAGAATTTTATTGTTGACTTATTCTGCATCCTGACCAGCCTATGATCTATTATGATCAACAAATAGCTCATTCTGTAGTCTAGATTTAATTCTGTCATGGATAGATGAACGTCTTCCCATCATTATTTGTGTGCACTTTGAACTTGTAAGGTTGTAGTCTAGATTTTTTTATTTTTTTATTTTGTTGCTGTTCTATTTAGTGTCTGCCTGCAATATCAGCACCTTAACTCAAAGATCTAGTTCTGCCAGGTTGGGTTGCTGAAATCAAGGCTATCTCTGCCCCCATATAAAGTCTCTTATTTATGGACTTCTCTTCTCCTGTTACTTGTAGAATTCTTCTTCTTTCTTTCTGTCCAATTATCACTGGAAAACTCCCTCTGGTTGCCGACTTATAGCAGCTGCACACACTCTGCCGCCAGGAATTTCTGCTGCTGCCGATTTTTTTTCGCTGATTTCTGCTCTACCTGGTTACTCATCAGATCCATGGTGTAAAACAGGAAATTGACATGATTTTTGGATCATTTATATCTCTACATATAATGGTTGATGTTATAATATAAAAGAGAGATGAAGACTTGTAGAGAGAGGAGTCTATTAATGATGGTGACATCCATCAAAGGGTCCAAAAAAGAAATAAAGACCTGGAATTACAGTTTAGTTTTCAAGAATTGTTGAAGTTCCTAAAACTTTTTGGATGAATTAAAATCGACTTTGAGGTTGGAATGAGTTTGCAGAGGCTGTTAAATTTGCTACAACTAATTAAGTTGCTATTTTCGTCTTGCGCATGCAAATCTTACATCAGTGGAGAAAAACTTAATAGAGAGTGGGTAATGCCTTGCTCAGATCACGGCAACACTTCACGGCAACACTGCAATTTAGACTTGAATAAAATTACTATTAGAATCAAACTGGCTATATCATTCTCAGCAAATCAGAATTTGTTTTTCCCCGTACAAATGCTATCTGTTTTAGCAGGCAATCTTCTGTGAAAATCTTGAGAAAGTGCCAACTTTCTGTGTATCTTAATCAAAATGATTCAACTAGACATCAAAAAGTGGCATCTGAACTTCATTTTGAGACATTGTTGAATCATCAACTGTAAACGAATGGTAATTAACAGGTCAAATTAGATTTATCCTGGAAAAATATCTTCACCATCCAAGCAATAAGTTTGATTTCTCAAACTTTCTGCCTTTAAAGTTGGGTTGAAGTCAACATTATTATGGAGACGAAATGTTTTAGCAGAAACTAAATTGGAAATATCGTAATCCATCATGTTCTTAGAGCATGTACTGACTTAGTTAAAAACTAACTGCGAAAAATATTTTTTTTTTTTTTTTAAATGCTATCAGAAAATATGCTGTGAAGTGCTTAAGAACTCATGTGTCCCTCTGGATGCTTTTCATGCTGTGGTAAATCCTAAAACCGTCATTTTCAGTGCATCCCATGCTACAATGTCTTCAGATAGAAAGGTAAGATCTCTCAAATCTCTGCAGATCCAAAATTTCACTACAAAAATATATAGAACGATGTCATTTGATAAACAATACAGTGATTGCCATTCAATTGTCATTAATTTGGTGCTTCTCTCTTTATTCTTTGCAATAACTTTCTTTTGCCTGAGATTTGGTCCGATGGGTTTATCCCACGGACCAAATCTCAGGCAAAAGAAACCCTTTCTACCCCTTGAATTTCATATCCTATTTCCAAAGGTAACCTTTAAAAGAAGTGTCTTTCTTCATGCAATGGTCACCTTTTCTATGTAAGTTGGAATTCCAACATTCATTTTCTTTCTTTCCATTAAGATACAACTGAAAAAAAACATGCTTGGATCATTCAAAACATACATGCATTATCTATATACGTCCAATCCATAAAAAACAACCTTAACTAGTTTTTTTAATTTTAATTACAATTGTAAAAAAAATAATAATAAAAGGATTGGTGGATTCACTGTGCATCAAGACGCGAGTCTCTATTCATTCATTGGAGCAGCAGTCCATTTTGCCTCACGGTCAACTAATCTTGCCTGGCTTTTTTTCCATCTGTTTGGGTGATGTTAGTGGGCTTTGGGCTGGGAGCATGATTGTTTTTATTATTGGGCTGTTGTTTTCTTTTACTTGGACCTGTTACCTATTGCGTTTGACTCGAGTCACATTTATGGATATATTTCACTTTGTAGTTATAATTTGGAAACAATTAAATAGGAGTTAAAAAAATTATTTTATAAAAATTATTTTTAATTAAAAAAATATATATTTGGTTAAAATTATGGATAAAATTAAAGTTGAATAAAAAATAGTTTAATGTGTTTGATTATAAAAATATTTTTTAAATTGAAGTTATAAAATAACTAAAAAAACATATATTAATATTAGTAATTTTTAATTAAAATATTATATCATAAAATAAATAATATTTTATATAAAATATTTTTTATTATTTTAATAATTATTTGTGATTTTATCATATATAAAATTTATTTAATAAGAATTATCGTTTTCATGTCTTTATATAAAATATTATTAAAATTATAATTAAATTTTATAAATGTTATTTCTTCATAATACTTTCTTTTAAATTAAATAATATTAAATATTAATTTTTAAATAAAATACAGTCTCTATTAATTCATTGGAGCAGCTGTCCATTTTGCCTCACGGTCAACTTATCTTGCCTGGCTTTTTATCCATCTGTTTGGGTGATGTAGCTGGTTTGGGCCGGTAGCATGATTGTTTTTATTCCTGGGCCTGCTACCTGTTGCGTTTGATCATTTTGCATCTGCCTTCACTCTGCCTCTCTTCACGTGGTTTCCCGCCCTGCCCTTCCCTCTCAATTGAAGCCACCAATGGGAGTGCATCTCTTTGTCCCTTCAATTTACAGTGTTGGCGGGCCTTGCCAACTTTATTTTTACTGCCATCCCTGGCTGCTATTTCGGCTTGCTGTTTCTGGGGGTGGGTGCTGATTGGATGAATTCTGGGTTTGATTCACCGGTCTTCCTCGCTTGATTGGTGCTCTGGGATCGCTGCCCAGGAAAGACGCTCCCATCTTGGCAAGTTGTGCAGGATGTTCAGGGTTTGGTTTTGTTGGGATGGGCGCTGGACGAACGTCCTTGCCTCTTCAACTGGATTTGGTTTCGATGGCCCATTCCATCAAATTTGATTGATGAGTTTAGGTATAATTTTCAGCTTGATTTGAGTCTGATTGGGAGACCTATAGAGGATTCGCTATGCTAATCTATCTCTTCTCTTTACATGGTTTTGCATTCGTACTTTCTCTCTTCTGCTCGGTGGGGTAGCTCTATTGGAATTCAATTTACCGTCGTTGGTTTTTTTATTGTCTTCCAGGTTTCCATTGTTTTTTCTCACCCATTGTCATCCGAATTTATTTATTTATTTAGAGTTGAATTTAGCTCAGTGATGTTATTTTCTGCTTTCTTTCTCAAGATTTCGGCTCTTTTGACGACCTTTTGCTGGCGCAACCACCTGATGTTCCATGGCTTAGGTTGCGTGATGTTGCTCCAGTTCGTGATTTGCGATTATTCTCTATGATTCGTAGTTTTGTTTCTTTTCAGAGACCCTGCTGGTTTGTTTTTTTTTTTGGGAAGCACTTTTTGATTAGGTTTAAGAGCATGTCTGAGCTTCCTCCTATTTTTGATCAGTGGTTCTATGATGTGCATGTTTAGGAATGTTGTGTGTGTTTGATTGCCTTCGACTAGGCACGATCGAATAGCCTTTGTCAGGGTTATATGACCCTTCAGCTGGTTGTTAAGCAGCTATGGTTTTCCTTCACTGCATTCATTTTCGTATAGCTAAATGTTTTTCTCAAATAGTGTCGATATCGACTTTGCCTGGGTCCATCTTTTATGTTGTTGTTGTTGAGGATGGTTGCATTCCGATAGTGGTCACTTACCTATTCCGATAGCGGTCACCTACTTTTGTTCTATATTTGCTCATGTGCTGTTCATTATCAGGTTGTGTCATTCTTCATTGCTTGCTGCATTTTTTAGCTGCAGTAATTTCTTCTTTTTTTCTTTGGCCTTCTGCTGTTGTGTTTCTTTAGAATCTGTCTCTACAGATTAGTTTCTTCGCTTTTCTTTTAAGGATTTTGCTGCTTTCTTAGTTCACAGCTTGTGAAAAAAAGAGTGTGCTGACACCCTTTCATCAAAAGCTAGATAGCATCAGCTCTTCAGTTAGGTCTGCTGAAACTTCGTCTGCTGTTACCTGCAACACCTTTTCTTCCAGGTTTGTGTCTGTCCTTTCTCATTTCGATTTGGTTCTTATATTTTTTTAAGCTTATGTCAAGAAAGCTTCCTATCAAGTGGTCAGCCCGTAACTTTATTTTGACCTTAACTTGGTTGGTGCTCCTGCCTTTTTCTGCACTGTTCCTGCTGCGTCATTTAATCCAGGTTAGTTTCTTTTCCTGTTTCATTGATCTGCTCTTTACTTAAGGGAAGGAGGGTGTCATTTAATGTTTGTTAACATTAGTTAAAGGACCCTAGAGTAATGCAGGGAACTCGGGGAATAGGATGAGAAGATGAAAACCAAACACACGAGATAAACAGTTATGTTCTAATGTTTAATTGGAATTAAATTTAAATTTAATAAACTTGACAATTATATTCCTCTATGAGGATCCCAATCTATCAAAATTGAGTTTCTTCTTAAAATAAAGTGCATTCAAGTCTTCATTCCCACACCCCCCGCCAATTGTCCTTGTTGTTTTGCAGCTCACAGTAAATTAGGTGCCTCGAATACTTCAATTCACTCCACTGCTGCTGCCATCAATTCCGTTCTATACTATGAAGTATGAGCATGGCTGGCTAGGAGGATTTGTGGGTATTTTAACAAATTAGCATGTTGCTTCTTTGATCTAGGTGTTTAGTAAAGGAGATGCCAGGGGAAATTATAAGGGTGGTCTTGGCATCCGGACTGCTAGAGAAGCCATCTTTAGATGGCAGCAGAAGAATTTCCTCTTTGGCATACTAGAATTCCTGCAGACATTTGCAACTACCGAGTCACACAATATAGGCTATTAAGTTTTAACATTACAGTTAATTGCTCTAATTCTTCTTGGGCACATTACCTTCCTTTCTCTAAGAGTTGGCTTGGAAATACTTACTATCTTTTAGATGAAAGCTAAACATCTTTTCCTTGCAATAGGAAACGTGGGCACCAGACCATGTGTCCACACTTTTGAGCAGCCCCGTCAAAATCCCATGCTCTTTTTTCTGTTCTTCATGGAGTTCAATTGTCGGTTCTGCTTTGCCAGCATCAGTCTCCTTCACTAGCCACATGCAGATCTTTTCTTTTTATTTCATCTGGTTTACTTTTGTTATGACGGTTTCAAAACTGTTGTACTAGCATTGCAACCATTATTTGCTCTCGGGATGTTTAATCCTCTTCCTTTATGAATTGTTCTGGCAGCTTTCTAATAGCCTACTACATATGGTTGCTCAGTTCAATCTCAACACTTACAATGTTTTTAGACTTAATTTTATTATTTGTTTTATCATCTTCTAGAACTATACGCCTTATGCGGCATCGCCCGGGCAATTCACCTAGGAATTATATATGTGAACAATATGTTTTTAACAGTCAAGCCCATGTGCCTTCTGCTGAAGCTATGGCACCAAAGCTGGAACAATGTTACTTAGCCGTGGTCTCTTGCATTGCTGTCTATCTGTTAATGGCAGCATTATCTTGGTGTTGATTTGTATGTTTTTCAATTCATCAAAGTTTAACTTATCTAGGATAAGTCTAGTTAGTTACATTTACATAACTGCTTAGAGATTATGGCTGTTATGTTTCTTTTTCTTTTTACGATTTTGTAATGTTTGATTCCTTCTATAAATAAAATACAAGGGGTGGCAGTAACCGTATGAGACTATTCTGCTCTCTGTTCTCTTTGCTGATAATTCTGTTGTTTGTTCTTTTTGGCTGTTCATCTGCTTAAACAAAATCCTGTTCTTTATATACCAGTTTTTCTACACCTTCAAGCAGGGGACTGGTAGGTGCAGTCTCTCCAAAAGCCTTCACCAAATCAGAACAAGAAGCTGGATCATCATCACCTTCACATTCTGTCTTGAGCTCCATTCCCATTCCTCTTCTATGCCATCCGAAGCAGATATCAACAGCAACTCACAACGCTCATAATTCAACATGTCTGGTCGGTCAGCATGAAAAGTCTTATTGTGCCCAAATTGGCCTTGTAGGTGAGCTGGAAACCTGGCCTTCCTCTTGTTTTGAAGTCCTGTAAATTGTGGACTGCCACCATGTTGATCGGGATTCTTTATGTGAATTATAAATGAGCCCTCACGTTTGATGTTAAGCGACTCTTGAGGCTCGTCTTCCTAGTCTTTTGATGGCAATTCTAGCCTGCACACCAGATGAGTATGCATTCTCTTGCCTGGATTATTGTGCCTTAGTATCCAATAAATGCCTTCTCCTAATGCTCTTGCTGGATACTTGTGCCGATACCCTCTTGTCGCAGCAGTGTCATATTCCTCTGAAGTGCAACAGGTAATTAAAATTTATGATCAAATTGATGTCCATGAAACTGCAACAAAACTCAATGCTGACTACGTACCTCCTTTAAGAGCATGCATTCTTCACATCTTCTAGTTTTGTTGTGAACAAGTCCACAAAACCCAGTATGGTTGGCTTCTTTTACTTGGATCTGGAAGACTTTTACGTCCCATTACCGTCAACCTCAACAAGGGCTCTTTTTCAATGTTCACTTCCTACCATCGAGGTGAAAAAGAAAGGACATCCATTGCTCTAGCTACCAACTCTAATGTAAAACTTTGAGAGAAAAATATAGGGTGTGGTCTTCTCTATAGCAAAAATACGTTTCACATTATTAAATACATATTTCTTAAGTATTTTTTTATTGGAAAATATATTTTTTATTTTTATTGAAAAACACTAAAATAATTAATTTAATATTTTTCAAAATAAATAAATATTTTAAAAAAATGTTAGTTTTGGTAGACGTAAACTTTGTTTGTTTTTGTATTTCAAAAGTGTTTTTAAAAAAAATTTAATTTTTTTTAATATGATTATATTATTTTGATGAATTGATGTTAAGAATATTTTTTAAAAAATTAAAAAATAACTGTAATTACAGCTTATTTCAGCTCTTGATCGCTGGCTTGAGCCTGGAGCCTTTGTCAATCTATTACAATTAATTAACTGGTTTCCACGCCCGCCTACACTTCCATTCTTGCCTGCAGAAGATGATCAGTACTTGAAGAACCTTTTTTAGAAGCAGAGCAAGGGGATTGCTTCTCTTCAACCGGTCTCTCACCAGACTCTGGCCCTACCACCAAGTACAAACGTTGAACATCATCAGGGCTATGAGCTTCTTCTTTCTCGACTTTCGGCCTATAGAAGAAGAATATAACTTTTCAGTTTTTCCATAAATAAAACCACTCGTGAGTGCGTAATTACATAATTTTTCCTAGACGCGTAACAATAAGTTCCATAAATAATAAAAGAGAAAGAGAGGCAGACCTGAATCTCAACCTGGGCCTCACTTTTAGACTTGACTCCCTCACCTTGACCCTTTATTTTATCCGTTTCCTGTTCTGGATTTCAAGTATCAGAAGAAGCTGATGAGTGCAAGACTGAGAAGTACTGGTGTTGTTTCTTGCTCTTTTCTAGCTCACTCTCTCTTTTGTTGGCCAGTTTGGTTAAGGACAAACGAGGGAAAAGAAAAATGGGGTTTTCTTGCTCCTTTCTAGTTTACTGACGGCGAATTGAAAGGGAAAAAATAAGATCAAGTTCATTAAAATGTATGGATTGGTATAGTTTAGGACTTCTGGTACAATGATAAATGTGTGCAAGTGAGAATTTTGATTTTTCCCATTGTTTGCCAGATTTTCAGAGTAGAGTAAAATTACAGCATTTGAGTTATGCGAGGTATACATATGGTTTGAAACCTTTTGCTGACAGCAGAAAAGGTACATGTCTGAAAAAGTTGTAAAATAACAGCATTTGAGTTATGTGCATCATATATATATATATATATATATATATGTACATTGAAAACCCAAAGCAACACAAAATTCCCAACTTCATATTTCTGCTGTCAGGGGCTAAAATTGCTTATTGGATGGATTCTCTGTAAACCCCCGTAAATAAAAATAAATAAATAAATAAAAACTCAAAGTTGTTCTTTTACGAATGTGTTAAATTACGGGGTGTGGGTTGTTGTAAAACCAAAGAATGAATTAAAGAGTTGTTAGGCAGCAATTTTACTGGTCAAGGTAGCTTTACTCTTAGATGGCCAAGTTAGTGTCGAAAGCTTGTGTTCAGTAATGAAGATTACAAAATCCAAATTGCAAATGTATCAAGTAGGTGCAAACATGTGAATCTTGACTACAAGTACGGTTTTTGACTGGGACTTTGGCTCAGGGGAAAAGAGAAGAAAACAGCAATAATTTGTCTCAAAGCTTCATAAATCACACAGATGATAGGCATGAACAGGATGGTGGTTTAGTCCTGTTTCTTATCCTTTTTAAACTTATTTGCAAGTGAATGCAGGTGCATTTAAGGGGTTTCTGATGATTAGCATGCTGCAGATCAGGAAAAACAGATTTAGAATGCCAGCACTTCCTTCAAAAGTGGTTGACATCATGCCGTGTACATGGCAGTTTGTACACAATGAGGCCCCTCAGCTTCTCTAGTTAGAGGTAACCTTCATTTTCATTTTTCTGCAACTAATTGAAGTTTGAATAGACTTTGTGAAATCAACCATATTTTTATCATATAGCTTTTATGCCTTATTTTAGATATTCAAGTACTTAAAGAGAAAATAGAGAGAGCCGTGAATTAATAACACAGTGAGAAGAACATTATGTAAGATGAAGGTAGATTTATGAGGCAAAACGTACAATAATTCTTCAGAAATTTGGAGTACATCAGCATAATCATCTATTCTGCAAGAACATAGTGATAAGAACATCATCAACATATATAACCTCATAAAAATCGAATCCTTTAAAGTTAAATAACAAAATCAAATATAAAATAAAAGAAGTTACACAAATGAATTCATATCCATACTATATTAAGCTCTTCTATCTTCGTGATAAGCTGCCAGGTCCATCTATTTTCTTACATTTTAACAAATATACTTCAGTCTAGAATTATGCCGGTCACACATTTATCCAGCCTGACAAACACTAGTCTGCACAAGCTTCAAATAACCATTCCATGGTTTCCTTCAATCTTCGAGGTCCGACTGCACATATGATAGTTAAAATAGCCAACTTGGTATTAGTTTTGGAAAGATAAACAACGCTAAACTACAAAATACAGAATGAATCAACTGGGTAGATAAAACATGTCAGGAAAATGGGATCATTTCATAGTTTCTAAAAATGTATAGGAAGCATATTCAATTCAATGAATACAATTAAAAAAAAAAACATATTCCAACATGAAAGTCAGTGGAAAATATCATTATCTAAGAAATTTCTAAAATATATTTTCAATAGTTTAACTACCTTCCAAGAATAATGTTCTTAATCACCACTAAAATTTATATTTTAAATCATTCCTATCACTACTTATCTAAGTTAACATTTGGCTTTCTAAAGAAATTTTTTTTTTACTTGTACTAGTTGGAGTTAGATAATTTATTATCATTATATCATTTATTAATTTATATTTTATATAAATTGGAGCCAAGTTTGCCTTTTTTCTTTTTTAAATCTTGGGGTCAACTAAAGAGTGTTTTTAGCTTTAATTGTATTTTCTACTAAAAAGTGAATGGTTTGTAACCTCACTAATAATCTTATTGGTTGTTATTTAAATGTGAGTTTTATCAATTGGTTAATCTTAAGATTTAATGGTTTTTTTAAAGTATCATAATTGTAAATAGAATTGATGATTTTAAAATAAATAATACTATATAGATAAAGAAAATATCTTTAATAAATGGAAACAATCTTAATAAATATAGGTTAAATTATCTTGTAAGAATGATATTATAATAATGATTGAAAAAATGTAGGATGGCTATTGATTTTATATTTTGATACATCATATTCCACGTAATCAAATTTAGGTTATAATAGAATGTTTAAAATTTAGGTTAAGATAGAAAAAAAACAAACAAATCATTTATTTTATGAAATGTTATTACAATAATGAGTGATGGTTACAATAATAAGTATAAATTTTGATAACATAATAAAAGATTATTAATGGTTTTGATTATGATTGATAGTTAATTTTAAAAGAATAAAGTCTAATTATTGCTTTCATTGATTTGAATTCTTTGAATGGTTCTCTCTCCTCTGCATACTACAAAGTAACGGAATAATTAAAACCCCAACTTAACTGTACACGTGTACATTATCTCTAATAATTGCTTTTGATTAATATGTCTAAAGAATGCTGGGATATGAGAAAATAACCCATTTTTAACAGAATGAAGTCTAATTCTTGCTGCTGCTGCTTTCATTATTTTGAATTCTTTAATTGGTTCTCTCCCCTCCCCGCATACCTACAAGGTAAAGGAATAATAAAAATTAAAAACCTATAGATGGGGGCATCCCCAAATCCACAATTTCTGAGATATGAGAAATCTTGGGCCACTCACAGCCATTCTCCTTGCTGCAATTTTCTGATAGATGGGGGCATCCCCAAATCCACAATTTCTTTAGTTTGGAGAGGCGTTGAATGGCTGTTGAACTTGGCATATACTTGAGATTCTTGCAATACCCAATCGAAAGAGATTGAAGAGAAGAAAGGCTGGCCATCCATTCTGGCAATGCTTCCTCAAATCCCTCCCCGTTGAAATCAATTATACACAATTCCTCGAGGGCAGTGAGGTGTCGAAGTTCGTGGGGTACACTCTTCAGTTTATCCCATCCCCATATAACTAGGGATTTGAGGGACCCACTCAAATTGAGGTGTTGGATTGAGTTTAAAACTCCTGCAGGAAAAGCCTCCATCTCCTCTGAGAAACCACCGATGCCCAGTCTCTCCAGTTGGGTGAGGCCGCCTAAGCAATCATCCCATGGGATATCACTCAAACAGGGACACGTGGTGATTGCTAAATAAACAAGAGAAGGCAATTGTCGTAAACCATGCCAATCAAAACTGATGAGCTTATCACATGATTGAATGGTTAATCTTCGAAGCGAAGACAATTCTTGCAAATCACTGATATGGATAAGCTCTCTCCAATCCTGTATCCACAATTCCTCTAGAGATGCGCAACATTGTAGTCCGCTTGGAAGAGCTACCAATTTACATTTCCGAATAACCATTGCAGTCCGCTTGGAAGAGCTCCCCATTTACATTTAGTAATAGCCAATTCCTTCAAAGAATATTTCAATTCTTGAAAATCACCAGGAATTGACATCAACTCAGGGCAGTTAAATATAATCAATTTCACCAGAGCTGTGCAGTGTGGTACGCTTGGAATGGATGCCAGCTTTGGACACCCGAATATACTTAAAACTCGAAGAGACGTGAAGCCATGAAACTCACCAGACAAATATCTCAGTTGATCACATCGGTCAATTTTAAACTCTACAAGAGATGAAAGACGACATATCGGAATGCTTTCCAACTTTCGACACTCCTCAATGCTCAACTCTTCAAGACAGGGAAATACTGCAATAACTTCTCCACCTGGTACCATCCATTCTTCAAGACCATGCATCCTGGATAGAGCGAGTTTTTTCAGTGCTGGAAACAGTACTGCTGCGCTGTCACCGCTGCTATAGAACTCATTGCCTATACATTTCACATTAGGCATTCCACTCATCTCTAGAATCTTAAGGCGAGGAAGACATCCAAGTGTTGGGAGTTGCCTCAACTTGCTGCAGCCATTCAATCTCAGCACCATCAGATTATTGAGTTGCAATATCCATGATGAGAAATTTTCACCTCCATAACCCTCAATTGTCAAGCTTCTTATGTCTGGGTGAGGCTGCAGGCCTTCCAGCACATCCTCGCTATTGACACTGCTGTTACCTTCATCATCACTCCATTCAAACACCAATTTGTGCATTCTTTTTTCACGCAGTTTTGCCTTCTCAGCTTCTTCTTTGTCTCTCACTTGCTCAAGCTTGCTTATCTGCAATTCTCCTCTCAGTTCATTCAAACATCCCAGCTCTTCAACCATATGATCTGGACCCACAGCAAATAAAGGCAGAGTTTGAAGGCGTATTAAGAGTCTCACCTCAGCTGGCACTAGCTTTGGATCATCAAAATGCAGATGTCTCAAGCTCACCAAATTCCTCATCTTCTTGGGAAGCTTTTCTAGTGACTCGCAATCAGTGAATCTTAATGTTTCCAAATGGTACAGCTTGGTGATGGATTCCGGCAATGCTCTGATAGCAGTATCCGAGACATCAAGATATCTCAAATGTCTCAGCTTGCAAATTGAATCTGGTAACTCTGTGATATCAGACTCCTGCAATTTGAGAGTTCTCAAGCTTTTGAATTTCCAAGACCGATTAAATACATCAACCATTGAGAAAACAGTTCGTAATTTTCCAGCATCAACCGTTGTTAATGCTACCTTAACATCCCCACAGGATTTGAGATTTAGATGACGAATATGAGATGCACCATCAACGGACGAATCCTCCTCCAGATTTAACACTTCTGATTTTGAGACTTGCGATGCAAGATCATGCACAAGATCATGCATCTTGCAACTTGTTACGATCTCACACTCATTCCTTTCAACATCCTGGAAAAAGGAATTTGCAAGCAAGTCATTGAAACACTTGTTGCCTTCGTCTTCCATCCTCCCATTTGATGGCCTGAGAAAACCTTCAGCCATCCAAAGTTGAATTAGCTCTTCCCTTTCAATTTCAAAATCTTTAGGGAAAATGGAACAGTATGCAAAACATTTTTTCAGTGTTGGCGATGACAGGTAATCAAAACTTAATCTCAATACGCGCATAGCCTTATCTCCATCCGGAGAATCCCAAATTCTACTGTTTAGAATTGACTTCCATTCCTGCGTCTCCTTTTGGCGCAGTGTTCCTCCCAAAACTTTAGCAAGTAATGGAACTCCTTTTGGCGCAGTGTTCCTCCCAAAACTTTAGCAAGCAATGGAATCCCTCCACATTTCTTTGCAATCTCTTTTCCAATAGACTCCAAGTCTGAAGTTATTGTTTCTCCTCCACCCCTGATCACCTTTTGCTTGATAATGGACCAACAGTGATCATCTGAAAGTCTCCCTGGCTCGTGCTGAATCCCACGAGAAGACTCCATCATGTCTGCTACTTTTTTACTGCGGGTTGTAACAACAACGGCATTCCCATTCTTGCTGTTAATTTTTAACAGTTGGTCCTTCAACTCATCCCACTTCTCAGGGTCTTCATTCCACACATCATCAAGAACAAGAAAAAAGGTCTTGTTTTCCAGCTTTTTCTTGAGGTTTTTAAGAATTGCATCAAGACTGTCCAACCCACCCGTAGCTTTGTCAATCACTTGCAACATTGCTCCTAAAATCTTTCCATTATCAAAACCATTAGAAACGCAAACCCATAGAGTCTCATCAAATTGTTTTCCCTCCCTCACTACTTCACAAACCTTTTTTGCTACAGTAGTCTTTCCAAGGCCAGCCATCCCCACTATAGGGACAACCGATAGGACATGTTGGTGTTTGGTCAAGCTAGTCAGCATATCCATAACTATAGAAACATCATCCTCCCTTCCTACAATTTCTGAGCTATCAAGGAACGAATGTGTCCCTTGATGTTGGTCCCAGCTAACTTCTTGAGCTCTATCTACAGGTTGAGATGTCGACTGAACTAAAGCTGCATCTTTTCGAATTTCATCCAGTGCTCTATTGATCTCCTTAACTTTTAGACCCATATTCAGACGGAATGCAACAGGGTTGTGCAGTGAAAAGAAGTCACGTAGCTTTCCCTTCTTTTGGTCTTTTCGGAGAATCTCATAAGCAAACTTGTCTAGAACATCTTCAGCAACGTAAGCTACACCTTGTAGCTTCTCCAGCAAAAGCTTCGCAGACTCGTCTGTTACGGGCCTTCTGGCTGCATCTTTAAGAGCTTTGATTATGGTCACGGACTCTTCGAGCTTTTGCAGCTGTCCCTCCAGTCCCCAAGCAAGTCTGATCCCTTCAGAAGCTATGGAAATGACCCTTGTCAAAGTCACCTCCACGGCAAACGTAAGAAAAGGCTCTCCTGCCATGTTCTCTTGTTTTCTTTGGGAAACCAAGGAAGAAAGATTGAGGAAAAGAGAGAGAAGAAAAAGTTGTGAAATAGAGATGAAATGAAGCGCGTTTTGGAATGGGGAGATGCATTCAACTTTAAAGCAGAGGGTCTCTCCTTTACTGTATCAATTAATTGATTGCAGCTGGCAGCATCTTCCACGAACCACTGCTTTCAAATTAGTCGTGCAAAGGAGAAGAAAATGACCCTACCTTCTTATCTTGAGTGTCCATATCCATCAAAGCCTGTAGACAACTTGAAAGCAGAGGGTCCCTCGCTCTCCCTATATTCCCTTGGCACGCACAAATGGACAATGAATCTAAGAAAGTAGTGTCAGTACATAGACTTCGGTTGTGTGTGAAATTAGGATTGAAGCTATATTTTTAAAATTTTCGAATTTTTTTATTTGAAATTAAATTTTATTATATTTTTATATGGTTTTAATATATTAGCATTAAATTTGTTGAGCCATTTATTATGTTACAGCTCCGATTGCTTTAGGGATAATTAATATAATTTGTGAACTCAGTGATTGCTCGTTTCCTTCCTTCCTTTTAATAAAATCCCACAGGCGGCTCTGTCGGCAAATTGTATTTAGTTTAACTTTTTGCAGATTTTTCCTCTTACATTTTTCGTAAATTTCTTCCTGCATTTTTAGCAACAGAACATCATAAATTTCTCACTGTCAATCTGTCTCACCTAAGGATATTGCGAGACCTTTCGTCGTCTGCATATGTGGCCAGCAACTCCCTCGTCCTGTGTTCACATTAAACCAAGGACAGATTCAAAGATGAAGCAACTTATTAATCTATATGTATTGAATTTCCGTAATTACTCTTTCTAGAACACGAGAACTCACAATAAAAATTACAAAATTACACTGTACCAACTCTCTGTCTAATGTTATTTTTAAAAAAATAATTTATAAGTCTTCTTCCAAGTCTTTCTTTCTTTTTTGATGCGGCAAGTTGTTAAGGACATGATTTTTTTAAAAAAAAAAAACATATTTAATCTCATTTCCAAATCTTCTATTTTGTGTTCAATAAATGAGTTCATGTTTACTGAAAAGGGTGACTTTCTTTCCTAATTCCAGAAAATGGCAGCAGGGTTTCTTCTTTTCTTTCCAGAAAATGGCTCCTGAAAGGATTGGACTTGCTTGGGGATTGGAAGGCCAGCAGCAAAAGCTCTCTTAGGAAATGAGAAATACTACGTGCTATTTAATTGTTGGAAAATTATTTTTTTAAAAAAAATATTTTTAATATTTAATAGTATAATATAAAATAAATTAAAAAATATTTTTTAATATTTAATTATATTATAAAAAATAAGCTGAAAAATAACTTATTAATGTTTTATTTTTTCAAGTTTATTAAAATAAT